AGTGGTTAGACATCACATTTTGGAGTCACGCAGACCTGATATCCTCAGATCCTCACTTAATACCTGTTTGATATTAAGCAAATTTATCTCCCTTTCCCCTCCCCCTCCCTCCCTCTTTTCTTTCTCTGCCTCTCATCCCCCTCCCCCTTCCTTGTTGCCTCCCTCCTTCCTCTCTCTCTGTTTTGGAGGTACTGGAGATCAAATCCACAGATGCTCTACCACTGAACTTTACATCCCCAGTCCATTCTATTTTAATTTTTTATTTTAGGACAGTCTCACTGAATTGCCCAAGTTGGCTTTGGACTTGTGATCCTCCAGCCTCAGCTTCTCTGGCAACTGAGCTTACAGGTGTATGCCACCTAGCTTTCATCTATAAAAAGGATGAAATACACCTCACAGAGGGTCACTTTACCATGTGTCTAAAGTGTTTGGTAGGCTGAAACACTCAGTAAATGGTAGCTATTAAAGAGTTTCACTGTTACTTTTTTTTATACCAGGGATCAAACTCATGACCACGCACTTGCAAGGCAGGCTCTTATGCTGCTGAACTAAATCCTCTGCCTCACTGTTACTTTTTTAATATTATTTTTTTAAGACAGGGACTTGCTGTGTAGTTCAGGCTGGCCTTGAACTCACTAGGTAGCACAGGCTGGCCCCAAATCCATGGCTATTCCTTCCTCAACCTCCCAAGTGATAGAATTACAGGCATGTGACACCATGCCCAGCATTTCACTGTTACTTTAAACTTAAATGTCTATCCTTGACCATTCCATTTGTCCATTCTGGTCTACTGCATCTGTCCTGTAATCCTATGGAAACTCATGACCCAGGAAACTTTCTCCATATGAAGGACAAAATACCTATGGCTCTGAACTTATCATACTCTTCCCAAATTTGTGTCAGGAAGATCCTCAAGGACCCATTCCTGATTCAAGAAGGGGGAAATCTGACACAAGAGGAGGGCCAGGCTAAGGAGTAAGATAGATAAGGAGTGGGCAGAAACAAGCTGAACACAGAAGTCTGTCCTCAGAAAGGTGATGTTTATGCATCTGTTATTCTGTATAAAATTTTAGAGTGAATAGTCACAGAAATAGCTCTTTCTAAATCTCAGGATAACTATTGGCCTGGTTGGTTTTTAATGAATTATTTACAACACGTAATTTGTTATAATCATAATCTGGGTTGATGCCTTACACACTGTGGAAGGAAGAGGGAGGTGCTCATTGGCTAAGTGCTTATTGTCATTCCTTATTTACAGAGAAGAAACTTAGACTAAATGACGCAGCTAAGGCTACACGTGGAATAAGTGATGGAGAAGCACACTAACAACACCTACTGAAGCTGCCTGGCATTTCTCCCTGCACTTGCTCCTTCAGCAGCATTCTCCGCTGTTCACATTCCTAGCACTGTGCAGGAAGAGGACCTGCCCCTGCCCGGGCTGCTCCTGTTTGGGCCCCGCCTCAGGCCTTCAGAGCTATTACTCAGCATTTCCACTTTTTTTTTTTTTTTTTTTTTTTTGTCTTTTTCCTTTTTATCGGTACCAGGGATCGAACTCACGACTGCCTGCTTGCAAGGCAGGCTCTTTATGCCACTGAGCTAAATCCCAGCCCCCTTTTTTTTTAAATATAAAGCTATCTATTGACCACTGTTCACCATTATTTACAGTAAAGAAAACAGTATAACATTCTGACTACTACAAAGTCGTTTTCCTAGGATTTTGACTTTTAGGAAAGTAAATGGTGCACTTTTCCCTAGGTCATTCCATCAGACAGATCTGTCCTGTGATGTTCATTCTCCAGCAGCACCTGACTGCATGTACTTCTAGATTAGTAACCCTCATGAGTTTAGGGACTTGCTCATTCTATGTCTTGTGGTATCTTCAGGCTTTGTGTGCTTTAGACATTCACTTAGCAATATATTTATTGCAAGAATGAATGACTCTTACTGGCCAGAAGTTGTGAGAATCTCCCCACCCCCCCACCCCTTGGCATCACTTGCTAAGATTCAAGGAGGAGAAGGAAGTATGTCCATCCCTGTGGAGTCAGCTCTATTCCTCCTTCCTAGTCTGTACAATCTGGAGCTCCAGAAGCCCCTCAGCTTGTGCTGCTTAAGATTCGGGTTCTGTCCTATGCCTGGTCTCAGTGCTCCCAGCCCTAAACTATATCCAGCTGTTGAGAGCAAATACAAACTGTTAGGAACTGGATTGTACAGGACCATTGACAAGTTATTAGGAAGCAGGATGGACAGCAGATAAGCAATGGTCAAGCGACTGAAGGAACTATCTGGATGTACCTATAGTCCTGGCTACTCAGGAGGCTGAAATAGGAGGTTCACAAATTCTTGGCAAGCCTAGGTAATTTTGTGAGATCCTATTTCAAAATAAGATTGATAAAGGTGCTAGGTTATGAGTTTGATCCTCAGTACCAAGTAAATAAATAAGATCAATGTAGTTCTGCACTCCATAGATTAAACTTTCAGTCATGGGCAGCTGGGGAGTGGGTAGGACAAAGGATGAAAACAATTCTGAACATCCACCACTGAGAGTTTAGGTTTGCTCCTACCAGTTGAATGAATTGCTAACTTAATAAAGTAATCCCTTTATGAGTAATCTATGTAAGCCAATGAAAATAAATAAATACCTTCTACATACAAAAAAATTTCAAAGATGAAGGAACATGAGAAAAGAGTTACAGAAGGGTTTTGTTGGTATTGTCAAATTTGCTGTGGGCAAAACCACTGTAAGTGATTAGGAAAAAATGTCAATAATCTGGAAGATTTCTGCTCAGAATTGCTTTGCAAATTGCAAGTACAATATTGGTTTAAAGAAGGAGAAATAGGAAAGTTAGAGAAAACATTGTAGCTGTGGTTAAGCCAAGAAAGGAAACAGAGAGCAGTGGTGTCAGAGAACAGCTGGTACCAGAAGGTTGCTTGAGAAATACACTTTCATATCTTTAAATTTTTTGGTACATAGTATTTGTGTGTGTTTTCTGTTTGTTTCATTTTGTGACAAGGTCTCACCACGTGGTGCAGCCTGGTCCTGAACTTACTATGTAGTCCAAACTGTGTTTGAACTTGTGGCAATCCTCCTACCTCAGCCTCTCAGTGATGGGATTATAGACATGTGCCACCGTATCTAGCCTTTATAAATATAGTTTATTTGTTTTGTTTTTGGTCTTTGAAGAAATGAGTTCTCAGCCTCGAGGAGGAGGGGCTCATGTCTGTAATCCCAGCTACGCTAGAGGCTGAAGAAAGAGAGTCACAAGTTCAAAGTCAGCCTGGCCAATTTAGCAAGATTCTATGTTAAATTAAAAGGTCTAGGATGTAGTTTAGTGATAAAGGGCTCCTGAGTTCAATCCCCAGTACTGGAGAAGAAAAAAAAGTTTCTACTTGGACTGTTGACCAACCATTAATTTGTTCCAGGTTACTAGATTTCCATGTATTAATGAATAGGGTTCCCTCGTATGTTTTGTTGATTCCTAGAGGATTGATTAGTCAGGTTTGTCTCATAAGGCTATAAATACAACAATCAACTATGTTAAGAACTGTGTTAACACTGAGTAACTAGTATCTATTTTTTGGTGTTTTTTATTTTGTTTTGTTTTTTTAGACAGGGTCTCAATATGCAGTTCAAGCTGGGCTTGAACTCACTTGTAGTCCAGGCTGGCCTTGAATTCAAAGTGATCTTCCTGCCTCAGCCTCTCAAATGCTGGGATTACACCACGCCTCACTTCAGTTTGATTGTTTTTTAAGAAAATAAGATAAAATTTTAAAAGAAGATAATAAAGATTGTAACAGTAGTTAATACATCGCACATTGTTGTCCTTAGTCACTCAGAATACAAGATACTGGTTTTAATTGTCCAAACAATATTAGCACAAACATTTCTTTTCAGTGAACTATGAGAAGTTAGTGGTATAACTTTCTTAACATATCATTTCTGTCAGCTTCTCACACAGGAGAGATAATACAATGTATGTGGGTCTAATATATTTCACTTACGAGTATAGTCTCTACTTACAAATTTATTTCACTTATGAGTATAGTCTCTACTTATAAAAGCCTAGTGTTTATCCTTCTTTGTAGTAGTACTGTAGTAGTACAGAGTAGTCCATTGTAAAAAACATCACATCTTTTTTACACATTCTTTGATTGGTGGGCATTTGAGTTGTTTCCAAGATCTAGCTGTTAACATGGTGCATATATATATATTGCTGTGGTATGATATTTTTATTTTTTCTAGGAAGCTACCCAGTAGGGGAATAGCTGGGTCAAATAGAACCTCCAATCCTAGTTTTTAAAGGACTTTCCGTGCTGATTTCCACAGTGACCGCACCAGTCCCTGCTATCTCCAACAGTGGAAAAGGGTTCCTCTTTCCCTGTACTCCTCCAGCATTTGTTACTGCTTGATTTCTTGATGATAGATAGCCATTCTTTCTGGGGTGAGATGGAATCTCAGTATTGTTTTAATGTGCATCTTTTGCAGCATATTTTTTTTTCTTTTTTCTTTTTACCAGTACTGGGGATTGAACTAACGACTGCCTGCTTGCAACGCAGGTGCTTATGCCGCTGAGCTAAATCCCCAGCCCAATTTGCATCTTTTGAATTGTCTCATTTTTAATCACGTAGTTTTTTCTTTACCTTTTGAACACTGAATGAATATAATTCGGATTGTGGATTATTCTGGTTCTGCAGTAGCTTTGAAACATTCAGAGGTGATAAGCCTGAGTCCAGGTGAGGGGAGTGGAGAAAGGAGCAAAGATGCTTGGTATGAAGTTGGAATGCCCACTTGAACCTGAAAGTTTGCTATTTGGTTGAAATGTTGTGACTTTTCCTCATTAGCACCCAGGTCCAAATATCAGAACAAAGGCAGATCTTTCTAAAGTATGAGGGCTTTCTAACTTTGTAAGATCTGTAATTCTGAAATTGTTGATGATTGAGAATTCCTTGTGCTAATCCATCAGCAACCTACAACCTCAAAGCCCTGGCTCTCGTTTTCACAGGTATTGGGGCGGTGCTTCTTGACGGTGGTGCAAGTCCATTTCCAGTTTTTGACTCATGCGTTACAGAAAGTCCAGCCGGTAGCTCACTCTTGCTTTGCTGAGGTAGTTGTACCAGAAAAGAAGAACAGCAGTGGTGGCAGCAGCTTATCTGGCATGGGCCACACACCCGAACTAGAAGAAGCTGTGCGTTCCTGGCGGGGTGCTGCTGAGGTAAGTGTCCGCAGGAAGATCAGACCCTGGGTGCAAGTGGGAGAGGTTCCAGAAGACTTTTTGCCTTTTGGCTCTCAAATAGAGCCACTTTCTTCTTTTTTTTTTTTCTTTTTTCTTTTTTTTTTTTTTTTTTGGTCTTTTTCATTTTTATCGGTACCAGGGATCGAACTCACGACTGCCTGCTTGCAACGCAGGTTCTTATGCCGCTGAGCTAAGTCCTCAGCCCCTGAGCCACTTTCTTAGAAACGTAATTTTTAAGTTCTTTATCATTAGCCTATTCATTCATGTATCATGACTGTCCTTGCAAATGCCCAATTTATGCCAGGTCTATGCCTGGCACTGAGCTGACAACCTCTACCCACAGCCTATGGGAGAAGGATAAATGGGTAAATGGCTGTGGTGGAGATGCACAGGACCCCGGCGGAAGGGCTCGGTTCCCAAGTGGGAGTGGTGCAGGAAAGCTTCTGAGAAGAACGGGGTAGGGAGATGGCTAGCGCCTGTGTCAGGAAACACAGGGTGGAGCAGGCTGGAGAGCACTGGTGCTTAGCCAGGCAGCCAGGTAGGCAAGCCGGAGTGCTTGGCAGACAATGGAATGACAGGCCCCTGCCACAGCCACGCCAGAGTTAAAACTCAGTGGACATAGGAAATTCTATATTTTTTGATAGCCAAATCACTTTACTTTAGAAATGCTTGCATCATATTTTTTTCTTTTAGACTTTTTTTTTGTGTGCCAGGACTCGAACGCAAGACTTCATTCTTACCAAGTAGGTGCTGTCACTGAGCTATATTCCAGCCCTTTCATGGTAAAGGTGGTAAAGGCTTGCCTCCTGTTTTCTTGCTCTTTATCAAAAGACCCCAACATGCTTAGTAGAGATTGCATTAGGGGTGCATCCCATTTGCTTCCTCTTAGACTGCTGGGTGGTAGGTAGTTCAGACTTCTCTCACTGAGCTTTACTTTTCTCAGTCCAGCTTCTGATTATGCTGCTCACATTCAGAAACCATAATACCTGGCCAGTCTATTCTGCTCCACCTGCTGGCATCTTTCATGCTGAGTATCCACATGAAGCTTTCTGGTGGTACATTGGCCACATCACCTTGGCTTATCTTCTGCCCGCTCAGTCTGTCCTACCTTTATTTCTGTCCAGTGTCCCACCCCATCGCCAAAATGCCACAGTTCCCTGGCCCCACCTTATAACCATCTTTATTTCCTTCCCCTTCATAATAATAGAGGAGGTTCCCTTTCCTCCTGTCCAGACCTGCCCTAACCCCACTCTGCCTCCATCCCTGAGGTCCTACCTTTTTTTTTGTCTTTTTCTTTTTAATCGGTACCAGGTATCGAACTCACGACTGCCTGCTTGCAAGGCAGGCACTTATGCCTCTGAGCTAAATCCCCAGCCCCGAGGTCCTAGCTTTTGTGACCCCTGTGATTTCTTTGCTTCATCCTCTGCTTTTTCTTACTGGCACTCAAATATGGTTCCAACAGAAAAATCCACCCTGCTACGTTGTTTCTCTGCTCTTCACAGCCAAGACTAGAGGAGTTGTCTACCTTTTTTCTCACCTTCATTCATTATAAAGCAAAATTATTACAAAGTAATTCAAGCATATAAAACATGTCACCCATGTTCTTTGCTAGATGGATCTTAGCTTTGTGTCACATTTGCTTCCTGCCTTTTGTGTTTAACAGAAAAAATGTTATTACAGATCCAGTTGAATCCCTTTTTACTTCTCTACTGGCTGTTTTCATCCTTTCCACTGTAGAGATAAACCTCTTGAATTTACAGTCTGATTCCTGTGCATATTTTCATGTTTTTAGTGTCTGCGTATATCCATGCATGGTATAATATATTATTTTGACAATTTAAAACTTTATATAAAGGACTTTATTCAGCTTGCCAAAACCTGGCTTTCACTGCTACATAAGAATATGCCTTCTCTTGTCAAAGTCACTGGTGTCCACCCTCTGTGTTTATAAATCCAGTGAGCCCTTTAACTCCAGTCAGCAGTTCATAGTATTTACAAGGGGTAAATGCAGTACTGTACTTTTCTGGTGTCTAAAAACCAGCGTTCTTCTTCTTCTTCTTCTTCTTCTTCGTCTTCGTCTTCGTCTTCGTCTTCGTCTTCGTCTTCTTCTTCTTCGTCGTCGTCGTCGTCGTCTTCGTCTTCGTCTTCGTCTTCGTCTTCGTCTTCGTCTTCGTCTTTTGAGACAGGGTCTCACTATGCAGTTCAGGCTGGCCTTGAATTCACTTTGTAACCCAGGCTGGTCTTGAACTCACAATGATCCTCCTGCCTCAGCCTTCCGAGTACTGGGATTGTAGGCATGTGCAACCATACCCAGCATTTCATTTTTCTTTTTTTTTTTTTTTTTCCTCCTAGTACTGGAGATTAAGTCCAGTGTCTTTTTGTTGCTACCTCCCCAAATCATCTACTACCCTTCTTGAATTTTGAGACAAGATCTTGCTAAGTCAATGCTTTAATTACTCATCTCTTATTGCTAACACCAAATGCTTGACACCCACAGTTAAAGGGATAAATGTTTACTTAGCTCACAGTTTGCAGAAGTTTTAGTTTAGAATTGGCTGCTCCAATGTAGGGTGGAATATGGCAAAGGGGCAACAGTTCATGGCAGTGGAACAAGAGAGAGCAAGACAAGCCTCCTTCTGTCCCTTGCATTGTATCCAGTCTAGTGCCAGTCCAATCAGTGGACTGATCCAGCAATTACCCACCCTTAATCCCAGCATTGCACGATGAATCAGTCATACACTCTAGATTCAGCCACCTCTGAAAAAGCCCCATCTAAAACTGCATGAGGCCATAACAGTTGCCCAGATTAAGACCTGGCTAGGCTTGAACTTCCAGTTCTTCTGCCTCAGCCTCGAGAATGCTGAGAAAGACAGGGATTTGACATGTATCCCGGCTGTGAAGCAGTCCTCTTTCAGCCTCTCTTGAGTTGCTGGAACTACCCACTCCTACCACATCCCCAGCTCAAGGTCCAGGTTTGCTTGGTTACCCTCTTTCCTCTTGGGCTGTTCTTCCTTCATCTTTCCTAGACTCTCCTCAGTACAGCTTCTGAATGTGAGTTTCTTAAGGCTCATTTCAAGGTGCCTTCTCCTCAGGGCATGTCCTTAGCAAACTTAGGACACCCTATTATGGGAGATGCCTCGATATACATAACCAGCTACTTCCTGTGAGCTCTGGCCCTCTGAATTTGGCTGCTGCCCACCTTAGCTCTTCTTAGCGGTCTCAGTTTCAGTTTTTCTCCATATATCTGATTCTCTCCAGTTCTCTCTGCTAGTAAGTGGTGCCACCCTATACTGGGACATTGATTGACGAACGCTTTATCCTTTAGTCTTTGCATCAAGTCTGTATCAGTCCCATCCTTAAGAGAGTCCTGCAGGTCCCATTTCCAAAATACTTCCCAGATCTCTTCCTCTTTTTTTGTCTGCTGTCACTGTCCAAGTTCAGGGGATTGTTACTTCTCTAGATTCTTTTCTGTGCTTCCTGTTGTGCTATCCTTTGTTTTAAAATTGGATGATGTTGGGGCTGGGGATTTAGCTCAGTGGCATAAGCACCTGCCTTGTGAGCAGGTGGTCGTGAGTTCGATCCCCGGTACCGATAAAAAAAAATTGGGTGATGTTGCTTCTCATTTCTTCAGAGTAAAGTGTGGACCCTTCCCCATGACCTGCATTATCCTGCCATGTCTGGCTCTTGTTTTACTTGCCAGCCTTATCTGAGGCCCCTCTTCCCCCTGGCTCACATGGGCTGTAGTTCTGTGTATTTGTCTTCTTGTTCTCCTAGGCTCTGTGGCCTAGGTGTGTTGGGACCTGTTTGCTAGTCCTGACACATCCATACATACTCAGTTCCTTTGACCACCTGCTTCTTTAACTCTTAGTCAAAATGCCTTTTTCTCAGTTTTTCAGGTGCTCCCTGTTACAGTATTTTACTTCCCTCAATGTGTTTTTCTGTTTCTGTTTTTGTTTTTGTCATTCTGAGACAAAGTCTCACTGTGCAGTTCAGGGTGATCTCAAACTTACTTTGTAGCCCAGGGTGGCCTTGAACTCACAGCGATCCTTCTGCCTCAGCCTCCCAAGTGCTAGAACTATAGACATGCACCACCATGCATAGCCTTTTCTCTCTTTCTTTTTTTCTTTCTTTCTTTCTTTCTTTCTTTCTTTCTTGATACTGGGAATCAAACTCAGGACCTTGTGCTTGCAAGCAGGTGGTGTGCCACTTGAGCTGTATCTTTTACCCTCTCCATTTTTAATTCAACGTTTTATTTACCTTTTCTGCTCAAGAGGCTATCAGCTCCAGGACTACTGGGATCTGGTTTTATCCTCTAGGTATCTTGCAGGAAGTAACATAATATTTTGCAGTTTTAAGTGGCACGTACCTATAACTACAGCAAGAGGCTGAGAGGAGAATCTTTTTTTTTTGTTTTGTTTTAAAGAATAGGAAAAATTTGGGGCCAGGGATATAGCTCAGCAGCATAAGTACCTGCCTGTTAAGTACGTGTCATGAGTTTGATCCCCAGTATCCAAAAAAAAAAAAAAAAAGAATTTTTGGGGAGAAAGAAAGCTTCCAAGAGAGAGAGAAGAGGGCCTGGAAAGTGGGTTGCCCACTAACCCCTGTTCTCCAAGGTGTTTATTGAGCAAAGCTACAAAAGGGGGCAGGTTTAAGATAGGACAGAACTATATAGTCAACCAATAAGATTGTAAGTACAGTTACTTAGGTAATATTGATCCAGTTAGAAATCACAAGGTAGGTATATGGTGGTATAAGAATATGGTAAACTAATAAGGATCAAATTGGAAAGTCACATAGCAAGCACACAAGGGTTAGATAAGGACTTTCCTGGAAGGAGTGGGTTAAGGAGGTTTGGTCCTACTTAGAATATCAATCAGTGCTTATTTATAATTAAAAAATTGATACCTACTTAGATTATCAATCACTGCTATTCATCCCTAGGGGAAGTATAAAGTAGTTGTTCTTGAAGCGTGGCCTTCAGTGAATATGCCTCCAACATCAGTTACCTAATGCATTGACCTCTCAAGGGCCCATCCTTGTCTGGCTGCCTACAATATTTCTACCTGTAGTAACTTAGCTACCTGTAATATTCCCCATTTGAAGTAATACACCTAACTGCTGTGAGATGTCAAAGGGTGAAGACCAGTCTGGCTATTTCCAGCTGAAGAGGGTCAGAGTTTAATTGGTAGTCAGAGATACTCCACAGAGGGAGTATCTGGCCTTGAAAAACAAAAATTAGCTGTTCAGAAAATGTAACTTATTTCACAAATATAATTACAACAAAAAGAAAAAGTGAGTTAGTTTATCTGGATCTCTTCACCCATCTAGTAAATCAAATATTTTTCTGTATTATCTTCTAGTCCTGACCCACATGCATAACGTGTATACTATGACACAGATTAGTTTCTGCTTGTTTTTCTGTCTTGCTTCAACAAGTTTTAATAACTGTACAACAATCTTGTGCATATTTCAAAAGTTCTGTTTCTTCATTCCTAAGCCAATGTTTGTTTTTATTGTTCAGTTTTGTGGCTTTTGCCTTGGCACGTGGGAAACACTCAACCTTTATGTGTTCTTCCTTTTTTTATTCTGCAAACCCCAGATGTTAGTATCCTAGGTAATCTGCCTTTTCAAAGCAGGGGAATTAGAAATTCATGAATGCTATATATGTATTAAAAAAAGAGGTATGCCAGCCTTATTTTTCTTTCCAAGATTTGTCATATAAGGTAATGATAGATCAGGTTTGTTTTCGCATTAAAATGGTTAACTTAGGCTTTCAGAATTTTAGACTGTACACTTTCAGTATGGAGAATCCAGAACCTCAGGTGTATATACAATGCTTAGATATCTTTATGCTTTGTTTGAGTTGTTGTTTTAATGTTGCTAGTAACTGTAACATCTCAAGTATTTACCAGTCATTATTAATGTTGTAGGCAACATCTAGACTAAGAGAAAGAGGCTGTGATGGCTGCCTAGCAGGAATTGAAGTTCAGCAGCTCTTCTGTTCTCAAAGTGCAGCAATTCCTGAGCACCAGCTAAAAGAACTGAATATAAAAATTGACAGTGCTTTGCAAGTAAGCTTTTCAAAATCCTCATATTGATATTCACATGATATGAATGAGGGGAGGAATTAAAGTTGGGATGCTGAACCAATTAGAGAGAATAATAAAGTAGCAATTGGAGCATTTTGATAACCATAGATATTTGAAATTCCTATTTTCATCGGATTTTATCATTCAAATCTGCTATATATTCTTGGTTCTTGAAAATAATTTACTTGCAGGCATATAAGATAGCTCTGGAAAGTTTGGGCCACTGTGAATATGCAATGAAGGCTGGCTTCCACCTGAATCCAAAGGCGATTGAAGCAAGTTTGCAGGTATACTTTTCTGTCTGGTAGCTATGGGGAGCTTTGGGAGATGTTTGCATCATGTAGCATGAACCAGATGTTTTAACAGTTGAGCAATGGTTCACCTGTCTCCCATCCAATTGTTTTCCAGGGCTGCTGCAGCGAGGTAGAAGCCCAGCAGACAGGGCGGAGGCAGACACCCCCGCAGCCCATGCAGTGTGAACTTCCCACCGTCCCCGTGCAGATAGGATTGCACTTCCTGAAGGGTGTCTCTTTTAACGAGTCTGCCGCCGACAATCTGAAACTTAAAACGGTAGCTTTCCATGGAGTTCTAACAACCAAGAATAAACTTGAAAATAGAGTTCTTTTTTTTTTTAATCTTTTTATCGGTACTGGGGATCAAACTCAAGATCACCTGCTTGCAAGGCAGGTGCTTATGCCACTGAGCTAAATCCCCAGCCCCAAAAATAGAATTGTTAAGGGGAATTTAAGGGTTTATGAAGAATGTAGGTTAAAAAAACAAAATCGAGCTGGATGCAGTGGTATATCCTTACAATACCAGCTACTTGGGAGGCTAGGTCAGGAAAGTTGTAAGTTCAAATTCAGCTGGGCAATTTGGGAAGACCCTGTCTCAAAAAAAAAAAAGAAAAGACAGGACTCGTGTAGCTCCTTGGTAGAACACCTTGAGTTTAATCCCCAGTACCCCATCAGGAGACACACACACACACACACACACACACACACACACACTCTCTCTCTCTCTCTCTCTCTCTCTCTCTCTCTCTCTCCTCAGGAATGTCTGAAAGCAGACCCTTTGGTAACTGTTTTCCCTTTATGTGATGCTAAAGTTTGAATTCAGAGCTTCAGATATGTTAGGCCACTGAACTGAGAGTTCAGCCCAATGTTTTAAATGAGACATATCCCAAAAAAATTTTGTACATAATTTTTTCAGATGTTTAACCTAAGAAGTTTAAAGGTACCCTGTAAGGGGCTGGGGATTTAGCTCACTGTTACAAGTGCCTGGCAAGCGTGAGGTCCTGAGTTTTCCTAGTACCCAAAATAAATCAGTTAATTAATTAAAGAAAATACTTAAGATCCTTCTGTACCTCAGTGCTAGAGCATTTGCCAAGCATGTGTGAGGCCCTGGCTCCAATCTCTAGTATTTAAAAACAAAGAAAACCAAGCAAACAAAAAGAAACAGAAGAAGAAAAGAAAAAGCCTATAACAGCAATTTGGGAGGCTGATGGAGAAGGATCACAAGTTTGAACCTAGTTTGAGCAGTTTATCAGCTTTGTGAGACCATGTATCACAATAAAAGAAGTTTAAAGCAAATCCCCACAATTCAATCCTCAGTGCCACAAAACAAAAACAAAAGAAATCATATGTGTGTATTTTTTATACGTGTGTTTCTAAATCTGTAGGATTTATACTATAGGAATGGGAAAATCTCTTGATAATTTCAGGATTCGAGTGTACTTAATATGCTTTTATCCTGAGGATGACTGTGTTAATGCATTCTGACAAGGTTTAGAATCTTGCATGGCTTTATCTTGAGGTGTGAACTCTCTTGTCAATCTGTAGCACACGATGTTACAACTGATTAAGGAAGCAGGCTGCTATAATGGAATCACATCCAGGGATGATTTTCCTGTGACAGAAGTGCTGAACCAAGTATGCCCATCCACATGGCGGGGTGCCTGCAAGACTGCTGTGCAGCTTCTGTTTGGCCAGGCTGGATTGGTAAGTGAGCATGCATGTATGTGTAATGGATGAGAGACTAGAGACATTTCAAGCACCTGAAGGTGTGGTGCAGGTTCATGCATGAAAATATGAAATGTCTCAAAATTTGTTAGTGTTGAAGTAATAGATTAAGAAAGAGCAGCATTGGGGCTGGGGATTTAGCTCAGCGGCATAAGCGCCTGCCTTGCAAGCAGGCAGTCATGAGTTCGATCCCCGGTACCGGTAAAAACGAGAAAAGACCAAAAAAAAAAAAAGAAAAGAAAGAGCAGCATTAAAAGTTTTTTTTTCAACTGGGTGTGGTGGTACATGCCTATAATCACAGCACTGGAGAGGCAGAGGCAGGAGGATCATTGCAATTTCAAGACCAACCTGGGCTTTAAAGTGAGCTTGAGACCAGCCTAAACTGCATAGTAAGACTGTTATACTAAGATGCTGAAAAATTAAAATAGTTGATTAAAAGAAAATTAGCAAAAATAGTTAATGGATAGTTATTAGCATTATTGTCATTCTGTACTGAACTTGTTACCCTAGTAACCAAGCACCAACCACATAGTTATAGATTAACTGACCGCATCTTTATGCGTCTTTATACGTCGCCCCCCCCCCAAGTAACCTGTGTGCTATGTCAACCTTTGTTCCCCTTGTAAGAGACAAATGGTGCTGTGTCAACCACTGTTCCCTTTATGAGACACAAATGTTCCTGGAATTGGCAGACCAAGGGCTATGAATTGGCTAACCACCCACTGTGAAATGCCTCTTACCTCAAGCAAAGAGGAACAAAGGGCCACCTTGTTTCTGTTTCTCATCACTATGTACTTAATGATCAATGAGCTAATCATAAATAAACTATAAAAATCAGTCAAAATTCCAGCTCAGTTGCACAGCTTTGCAAATTCCATCTGCACTGTGTTGTTGGGCCAGCTAAAATAAAAGCGCATCTTTTAAGAAAGACATCTTGCCCCGTTTTTCATCACGGGGCCTTTTTTTTGGGTGGGTTACAACAGAGACCCTGTCTCAAAAAGGCAAAAAAAAAGTCTTTTGGGGGGGCAGTGGGGGGCACAGTGAAAACATGCCTATAATCTCTGCACTTTGGGAGACTGATGAGAGGAACACAAGTTTGAATCTACTTGGAACAATTTAGCAAGACCTGTCTCAAAAAAGTTTTTAAAAAAGACTTATTGTACCTCAGTGTGATGGCTCTGGGTTTATTCCCTACCATGAAAGAAATAAAGGGTTCTAGGGAGGCAGGAAGATGAGGAAAAGAAAGAGAAAGGAAGGAAAGAGAGAGATTTTCTTTTAAAGGTTGATAATATGTAGTTTCAGGAAACCTAGTTGAAAAATGCTGTAGGGATTCCTCATTTAGGGCAAACATTACAGTAGCGCCCATTTGACAGAGCTCCTTCACCTGACCTGACTATTCTGCAGCTACCACAGGTGTTTTTCTGCTGTTCAGATATGCCAAACTTGTGCTCTCTCAGGCCTTTGCACTTAAGCCACCTTAAGCCTAGAGACTCATCTGTGATCTTAATGGTTGCTCCTGACAGTTCCAGGTGTCAGCTCCAGGATCTTTTCCCCTCCCTAAACATACTGGTATAGGTTGTACCCCATCCAGTCACTTCATTTCCCAGCTCTCTGCTTATCTCCTATTGGGAATAAAATGATACCAGTTCAAAAGTAGTGATTTAGTCTTCGCATATATTAAAGAAAAAAAATTTTTACCAATCTTGGGTGGCATTAGAAGATAAATGTCTGAAATAACCATTTAGCTTTTTGTTTGGCATCATTAATCCATAAAATCTTAGGCACTGAGCCAGCACACCTATAATCCCATTTGAGGCAAGGAAGATTGTAAATTCCAGCCCAGCCTTGGCAATTTAGTGAGGCCCTGTCTCAGAATTTAAAACAAAAAAGGCTGGGGATGTCTAGGTTCTGTGTTTATCTCCTAGTAGTACCAAAAAAAAAAAAAAAAAGAAAAGAAAAAGAAAAAGAATTCTTTGTAGTCTGATTTCTCCTTCATTCATGAAATGAACTATTGGGATCAGACCTGATGGCACACCCCTGTAATCCCAGCATTTAGGGGGAGCAAGAAGATCACTACAAGTTCAAGACCAGCCTGGGGTATAAATTAAATTCAAGGCCAGCCTGAACTACATAGTGAAATTCTGTCTCAAAACCCACCCCTGCCACCCCTACTCCCACCCGCATCCCGCACGCCCCACCCCACCAAAAGAAAAAAAAGATTATCGAGAGGGAAGATGCTTGTCTTTTTGTCTTGTGTTGTAAGAAGATAAGGGGGCAGGTGGCCCAGCTTAGGGCAGTGCTGCCTTGTTAGAGAGCCAGATGAGAGCTTGTCCACGGAGATAAGCTGCTGTTTCCTCTCAAATCTGTTCCATATCATAAGAACCCCCCAAAAAATAGTAAACTGGAGATGCCTTCTGAACTGTAAAAAAACCCTCTGCCTTTAGACCACTTCCCAAAGACCACTCAGCTGAAACTGGGAGAGCCATGGCCCTGTATTCTGAAAGGAGTACAAACAGGAGGCAAGACACACAGGCTCTTTTGAAAAGCATTGTAAGTTAAAAAAAAAATTCTGTCTTATTCAGAGACCAGAAACAATTTCTTAGTTCCCTGCCCACTGATTGCAGGGCACCTTTGTGTCTGACTCACAGAGAACCTTTAGATTATGGCTCTAGGGCTGGGAGGAGAAAGGAAACACCTGTCAGATCCAACAAAGGCTATTCCTTGGACAGGAAATCTTTTCCGAAGGGACCATCTGTGGGAATTCTGTTTATAGCAGTTAAATCAGCTGTATTAGGCCAATTTGGAATCATAAGCACCTTTGTGCAGCTTTATCCCTTCTGAAATATAGATACTGTTTTTGTTTTTTCTGACAGGGTCTAGCTCTATAATTCAACCTTGAACTCATTCTGTAGCCCAGGCTGGCAAACTCAAAACAGTTCTCTGGCTTCAGCCCCCCAACTGTATACTACCTCATATGGTTGAGGGTAGAATAATCTTTTTTTTTTTAATTGGTACTGGGGATTGAACTCATGACCACCTGCTTGCAAGGCAGATGCTTATGCCGCTGAGCTAAATCAGCAGCCCAATAGAATAATCTTTTAAAAACTTTCTCCAACTTCTGCTTTATATCTAGTTATTAAAAATGAATTTTTCTGAAACTTTAACTTTTTTTTTTTTTTTTTGGTACTGGAGATCAAACTCACAACCTCACTCTTTCCAGCCAGATACTTAGCCGCTGAGCTAAATCTCCGGCTCCTGAAAGTTTTAACTTTCAATGACATTTTTACTTCTTTCAAATACAGAGAAATAAAAATACTAAGATACAGGAAAGAGTAATTCCTGATTAACATTCATAGTGTGGAAGAATGTTAGAGGTGCTTGGAAAATTCAGAAAACCACACATCCGGAAACTGCTTTCAGTTTAGTAAAGTGTTTCTATATTGGTTACCTGCTATTGTCTATATGGGGCCCTAACTGGGCCATAATGTGCTGTCAGGGAAATAATTCTTGCCGGTCACTCAGCACTGACAGGCGTGTGTATTAGATAATGTTTGTGTTCCACTTTCCTTCCTGAAAACTAGTGGCTATTTTTATTTCTCTCTTAGGTGGTGGTTGACACAGCACAGATTGAAAATAAAGAAGCCTATGCCCCCCAAATCAGTTTAGAAGGCACCAGAATCGTGGTTCAAGTCCCATCCACATGGTAACTTGACTCCTAAATTACCAGAAGCTGATTGATGTTTGTGTACCTTTGAAATGGTTGCTTTATTTTGAACAGAATCTATGCTAATTGAAGCAGCAGATATTGATTGTTACATGTACAGGTTTATGGGCATTAGTGGTATGTTAGTGGTATAGATTGTGATTATTGGTCTAGGACAGTGATGGCAAACCTTTTTGAGCTGTCAGTGATGGCAAACAGCCCATTGCAGCATGTATGACATAGGTTCGCCTCCACTGGTCTAGGAAGGAGGCCAAGATGCTTGCAAGATAGCCTCACTGCCATAACGTAATTAAAATGTCAGTACTCTTGAATCATAATGGGGCAACAGTATCTTTTTTTTTATTAGAGTCAGCTTCTAAACTTTATACAGTACATCATTTCTCTACCATTACTTCTGTAAAGAACATTTTTTCCAGTTCAACCATTACTTCTGTAAAGAACATAGAATTTCATCTGCTTTGTCAGTCTCAGCCACAGTCTGATGCTTTTGAGTTGGTGTCATCACATACCCAATGTCACTGCACATCTTTTATTTCTTTCCAAAGGATTATTCTTAATTTGTTACTATTTTTTAAAAAGCTCCTATGCCAGGTATAGAGGAACATACTTGTAATTCCAGCCTCTTGGGAGACAGAAGCAGGCTGTTGGCAAATTCAGGCTAGCCAAGACAATTTAGCAAGACCTTGTCGCTAAATAAAATAAGGCTGGCCGTGATGAAGGCACACATCTATAATCCCAGCATTCTGCGACATTGAGGATGGAACATTGCAAATTGAGGATGGAACATTGCAATTTAACAAGACCCTGCTTCAAAATTTCAGAACGAAGGGTTGAAGTGAGGGGTGTAGCTCAATGCAAAGGGTGTAGGTTTATCCCCAGTGCTACAAAAAAATTAAATTTTTCAAAAAATTTAAAAGGCTTGGGGATATTGTTCAGTGCAAAAGTCCTGAATTTAATCCCTGACACCAAATAAAGAAAAGCCAGGAATGTTTGCAAATATTTCTGACAAACTTGAGAGGCTGGAAGAAGAGGATTATGAGTTCAAGGCTAGCCTGGACTCCATAGCAAGACTGTCTCAAAAAAACTAAAACAAAGCTGGGCGTGGTGGCTCACGCCTGCAATCCCAGCACTTGGGAGGCTGAAGTGGGAGGATCGTTGGAGTTCAAGACCAGCTTGGGCTACAAAGTGAGCTCAAGGCCAGCCTGAACTGCACAGCGAGACCCTGTCTCAAAAAGACAAAAAAAAAAAAAAAAAACAAAGAATTGGGCAGTATTTTTTATAAAGGGCTGGGCAATGTAGCTCAGTGGTAGAGTGTTTCTGGAGTCAGTCCCCAGTACTTAAATGGGGGAAAAAAAAAGCTCCTTAGAAGTCAGAAAAAAACAGGCAAAGGATGTGACCAGATAGAAGGAACGCATAATAATTACCATCCACAGTGACCTAGCTACTCAGGAAGCTAGGGACAGAGAATTGAGAGTTAACATAGTGAGATCTTGTCTCAAAAAATAAACATCTGGAAAAAAAACAATCTGGGCATAGTGACAAATACCTACTCCCAAAGGTAGATTGAGGCACAAGGATACATTTGAGTCTAGCCTAGGGAAATTTAGCAATTAGTAAGATTCTGTCTCAGATTAAAAAGGGATAGGGAATACAGCTCAGTGTGGAGGCCCTAAGTACTGTGGGGAAAAAAAGCAAAGAAAACCCAAACAAAATTCATGTGGTCAACAAATATGTGAAGAAAATATGTAACCATTCCAAATGACCAAAGGAAGACATCAAGAAACCACATGATGCCATTTTGCCAAAAATGTTAACTATTTTAGAATAACAGTGCTAAATAATGTTATAGTACTGGTTTGGTCTACCTTACAAGCTCAAAGAATGAAAGGTTGAATAGAGAATAAATCACACTGCCTTTTTGGAAAGTAGTTTATTATATCAGAAACCTAAAATAAAGGATATGACCTCAGCGGTTATACAACTCTACTTCTAAGGATTTGTTCTTCCAATATTCATACAGATTTGTCTGTGCAGTTTGCCATTAGAGTTTTACTAATAGCACATGGCAAATGTCTTCCAATGTATGTCTAATTTTTGTATTAAAATTATAATCGGGATGCATACTTAGAGAAGATGTTTAAATTGTTTGAATAGGAAGAAATAATAAGGAACAAAGACACTTATTAGTCCTTGTGTGGACTGAAGTGGTGGTTGGGTAATGCATACATGTTTACTTATTTGTTTTCAGTACAGTAGTAGCAGTTGAACACAGGACCTTTGCATCGAGCTACATACACAGTCCTTTGTTATTTTGTATTTTGAGACTGGGTCTCACTAAGTTTCTGAGTTGCACAGATGTACTCAAATTGTGATCTTCCTTCAGAGTGCTAGGATTATAGTTGTACACTACCATTGTTGGCTTACAAGTTTTATTTAAATTTTTCTTTTAAGGTACAAGGACTGAACCTAAGACCTCACATAAGCTACTTTCCCAGCCCTGAACCATTTGTTCTTTTTTCCCCCTATTTACTCTTGAAACAATAGTAGATTCAGACAGAAGAGTTTAGAGCCCATTACTATATTAAGAGTTACCAATTCATTTTATGTCCCAAAACATCCATTTTAAAAAACAAAAAACTATGTTCCTTTGGCTGGCCTTGAACTTACAATACAACTTCCTCAAATTGCAATCCTTATCCCTCAGCTTCCCAAATTCTGAGATCATGCCTGAGCACACCACACCTACCTCAGAATTTTGATTTGATTGTTATTTGAAATTACTTGTAATTCATACGCATATCTTTTTGTTTTTGTTTTTGGTCTTTTTCGAGACAGAGTTTTGCCATGCAGTTCAGGATGGCTTGAACTCACTTTGTAGCCCATCTGGCCTTGAACTCATAGCAATCCTCCTATCTCACCATCCCAAGTGCTGGGATTACAGGCATGTAATCCATGTCCAGCCAACCATACTCATTTCTGTCAAACAATAAATTTAAAAGATTATTTTTCTGTAAGATTGTGAGTTCCTGAATTTCTCATTAATTTTCCAATTCAAATTCTTATTAAAAAAATTAAGCTTTGTTAGGATTCTCATTTTGATGAAAACAGAATGAACTTTTATATAGTTGGGTGAATATAAATAGCTAGCACTTCAGGTGTCTTCCAAAACTCTCCCTGTGCAGTTTTTTCCTTTTTCCAAGAAAAAAAAAAAAAAACTAGTGATTCCTTGCAATGGCTCCCTCTGCTGTGTATCTTTGGTAATGATGCAAAAATGTTTTATTTTACTGGTACATTTTAGATGTACGTAATAACATTCATCATAGGGTATTTGTAGCCGTATATGATATATCTTGTTTCTTGTTTTTTGTTTGTTTGTTTGTTTGTTTTGCCATTCTCCACTGCTCCCTTTAATACTTCTTCCTTATTTACAAAAACTTGTCTCTATTTTTTCCTTCCTTCTTTTTTTTCTTGTCCCTTTTTTCTTTCCCTCTTTTTTCCTTTATACCTCTTCTCACTTGAACATTTTATTCCCATTTCCCAATATCTATTATACATTTTGGTCTTTATTCACACTTTCAGTTTCTCACACTGGAGAAACAATAATGATACAAAATCTTAAGGGTGATTTTGGGTTTGGTTTGGTTTGGGTTGATTTGGTTTTCACTGAATAGTACTGTGAGTATCTCTTACCTGAATTGCTTTGGACCAGAAGTATCTCAAATTTCAAATACAGTATTTTGGATTTGGGGTATGTAATGATACATCTTGGGGATGGAATGCAAGTCTAAAACACAAATCTCCTTTATGTGTCATATATACCTTACAAAGTGTAAAGGTAATTTCATATAGTATTTTTTTCCAGATTTTTTTTTTTTTTTTTTTTTTTTTTTTTTTGGTATTGAGGATTGAACTCATGACCTTGTGCTTGCCAGGCAGGCATTTGTGCCTGCTAAGCTAAATTCCCAGCTTTATACACTTTTTTAATTGCACCTAAGTCTTGACTGTGATCTGCCACATAAGATCGGGTATCAAATTTTCACCTTGTGTTGTCAGATAGACCCTCAAAAGGTTTTGGATTTTTGAGCATTTTGGATTTTTGGATTAGAGATTCTCAACCTGTACAAAATAAGTGCTTGTTGAAAAGAAAACAAACAGAAGTGATTGCTTAACTTAACCATCTTTGGAAAAATAATATTGTTGGCAAAGCAAGTCAAGAATGTATTATACAGGGCTGGGGATTTAGCTCAGCGGCATAAGCACCTGCCTTGCAAGCAAGTGGTCGCGAGTTCGATGCCCAATACCAATAAAAAGTTAAAAAAAAAAAAAAAAAGAATGTATTATACACAGACTGGGAATGTAGCACAGCGACAGAGTGCTTGCCTAGCATGCATGAGGCCCTGGGTTTAACCCCAGCACCACCACCAAAAACAAAACAAAAAAAAAACCCAGGAAGCAGAATTTATTATATACTCTGCTTTTAGTGTCTAGTTGCCCAATAATACTGTATTTTTTCTAAAACAAATACCTACCTCACTATTTGAAGCTTTTTTTTAAAGCTATCGACCCACTGTTTCTTTTAACAAACATTTACTAAATATCTACTTTGTGCCTGTGTTGCTCTAGAGACAGGCAAGACAGACAGGATCTGTGCCTCTGATAGAGCTGACTTGGTAACAGGGAAGGGGAGGAGATAGCCAGTAACTGAAGAGATGAGTGCAAGCGCTGACAGGTGAATGAGGGGCGTATGAGGAGAGTGACATTATATGATTGAGAATAGTAAGGTAGAGGAGGAGGGGAGACTATTTTAGGTGATGAGGTCAGACAGAAACAGTATGATATTTAATTTAAGGATGTGGTATTTGATTTGCGAGCTGGCCGTGCAGAGCAGATGAAGGCAGAAGGAACACCAAATGCAGAGGCCTGGGAAATAAACTGGCATGGATAGAGATCATGATGAGGATGAAGGAGTTGGGTTTTTA